TGGTGACCCCTGAGACAGATCATTTCTCTGTTTCGGCCAGAGATCACCAACACCGATTAGTCGGCTCCGTGTCAGTCTGAGCCCTGGGGGCCTATTTTCGGAGCAGTGACACGGCCGGGCCCGTGATTGACATCAGTCGGGGCCTCTGCAACAATGCGGGGCCTCCTGTATCATTCAGGGGTCCACACTGCTTAACAGGGTATCCTGTGTCAACAAGGGGCTTGAGTCGGTCGGAGTAAGATTTGCTCAACAGGGCCGGGACGGGACCCCGGGTGACAGAGGGCCTTTTGTGTTGGTCACAGCCCCCTGACAGTGAAAGGAAACATGAATGCCTATGATGATTGTTCACATTGAGGCAATGGAAGGGTTCTGTGTCTGTTAGGGCCCCCAGTAATGAGCAACAGGACCCTCCAAGCCAATTCCAGAGCACGGGCCCGTTCAGCCGAACTGGAGTCAATGTATCAATTATTGGATCACCTGTGGCGATCAGGGATGTTGCTGCGCCAAAGAGGTTTATCGGCCGATCCAGGGCCAAACTGCGGTCCTTCTCGGTTCAGGAAGTCAAAAGTCCCAGTGAGTTGTGACTAATGTGATATGACGCATTCCTCTAAGGACCTCCGGACCTGGCCGGGGGACCTCGCCTCGTGTCCACCAGGCCGGCAGCAGGAGATACCCCACGGTGGGACGCAATGGCCCTACAGCCCTTGACCGCGAACAATAATGCACTCGTAGTGTTCTAATTGAGGAGGCTCCTTTCCCGGGAAGAATCAGGGGTCTGATAAGTGTTGGATAGAGTGGGTCCAAATGAGGTCGAGAAAGAAACGAGGCCAATCCCATGTTTGCCTTTGAACTTTTTTATATTGCAGAATCGACTGGTGAAACAAATTATCAAAAAAGGTTTGAGCCTGCGCCACCAGCAGTCTCGGAAGCAAGGACTGCGATGGTCTGGGTCGCAGTTTCCGTGAGACTGAACCGCATCGGTACTGCTCGAACACCAGGCGGCGCATGCCGTGCGCGAGAGAGCGACCATTGTGCAATAATCCTTCGGAATGTTTAGAACAAATAATTCGTCCCTTTCAAATATCAGGCTGGCCGAATCAGTTTTTTACAGCTTTGATGTTGTCCTTTGGACAGATTAACAGCTACGGAAATACCAAAAACAGAGATTCTGCATTTACCCTCTCAATCATTTCGCCAGATTCCAGTATCAGTTCGCGGTACTGTAAAGGTATATCCGTTCAATTCATCAATCTAAATATCGCATGGGTGAATACCTACGCTCCGGCTCCCTTTAAATGTGACGTGTGATGCCCAAAAGGGTTCACTGTACTTCTTTCCAATTCGTCATCATTTTTGACCACCCGCTGGCCACAGCGTAGTGGTTAGCCGCGGGGCCGACGGCCGTGCGGCCTATGGAGCCTTTAACGCTTAGCATCCAGATCTGTGTTGCTAAGATTGGCGGGCGGCGGCATGCTCGAACTACGTCAACATCACTTGCATCACTAATCAATTCTGACTGAATGTTAAAAATTCGGGGCAAACATGGACTGGCCATGTTTGCCCCATTTCGATCTACATTCGCGGGGTCCTTCATATCTCTACACAGCCCAAATAAAGATTCCGGCGAAGACTCTGAGTTTCGTAAGGTTAGAAAGTGTTCACAGGACCATTGTAAAATGATGAGCGCCGGTGATCTAAGTAAGGATAAGGTAAGGCTCCATCTCATCTATAGGCCTGAAATGGTCATTACTGGCCCAAAAACGGCTGTAAAGAAGCCCAGAACAGCCTAGTTCCGTGGCCGTATCGGCACAGGAAACCACCAATGGCTTAGGTCTAGAGACGAGCAAGGCTGTGAACTGCGTCGTCGAATGATTTCAAGATGGCTATTTCATTTTTTTTTAAACCCTACAAATGTGAAACACTCCATTCAACCGTTTTCAAGCTGTCTCACTCACTGTCTCACCGTCTATTCAATTGTCTTTTACATCGATAGACATTGCCTAGTGACCGTAGCTGTTCTAGACTTTCCGGAATAATGGTTGCAATCACTTGGTTATCACGTGTGGAACATGAACTTGAAGGTATATTTCGATACTGTGGTATATTCCGAGCAGACGATATGCCTCAACAAAGCTGCATCATGCTTTATTTTGATTGATGGCCCTAGGCATGACCAGTTTTTCATTTAAATCAAAGAAGCATTTTAATTTGAAATAAAGATAAATTTGATCTATGCAATCAAACAGCAACGAATGACCAATTGTACACGGTGAAGCTGAGTGGTGCCACAAGCACCGTACAACGACGTGCAGGAGCGAACAGAGGACATCACGAGTTCTTCCATCACTCGCCGCAAGATGCAGCACTGAACGGATGTGAGGTGGCTGGCGTGGTGAGGGCAATGAGCGTTCCCAGGCACTTTGCAACCATATGTCAAATGTCGATGTTGCAGTTTGAAGCGCAGTCTTGGAGACATCACGAAACATGCCTTGTGTTCCAACAACTGGCGGTTGAGTTAAGGCCTATTCATTTTCTTTGTACCCCGATTCAACCCAGTTCGTATTTGCTCGTAAAAACCTTCTAGAACTTATCCGAAAACCATTGAAGCCAGTTCTGTAGGTGTGGTTCCACGCTAATAGTGACATTTCCACCAAGCTCTGAAAGGCCCCGGCTCTGCATTCTCACACCAGCCAAACGATTAAAACCAGCTCTGTAGACAAGGTTTCCAAGCCATAGTGACATCTGCACCATGCCCTCCACGGTCCCGGCTCTGCATCCCCTCGCCAGCCGTACGCCCAGGCAGTCATCTGGCAGCGGCATGCGAAACGACGCCGCTACCCGGGATGTTGACAGAGGGGCGCAGCCCATTTGATAAGGCCCGTCGGACTTTGCCGGCGCAGTCGCTGGCCGGTCTCACTGGTCTCCGCTCTCTCGACCCCGCCATAGGAGACAGCATGCTGCCCGGCCGAGAATGGTGCGTCCTGCTGGCGATGGTGCTCTGTCTGCCCGGGAGCAGGGCATCCTGCAACGCATTGTTCGACAGAAAAATACTCAAGCAAGTTGTCCAGGAGGCCATCGCTGAGGTGAGTGGGGCAGCGGCGTCGCCGACATTTTTGAAACTCAGTTTGCGCTGTGGTAGAGACACATGAGCATCGTTGGGTTAGGGCAGCACTTGGACCACGTGCTGGGTGAACGAGAACCCAGTTCGCCAGTGACAAGGTGGTACCAACAACCTGGATTAGAGCAATTCCGGGTCAGCTGGTGCTTAATCCTCCACTCCGGAGATCCCCGAAAGCAGCTGTGACCAAGATGTAGGGTCATGAAATACGTCGTACTGAGCTTCCAAATTGTGATAATTCACACTCTCAGCTTAATACTTAATAACATAATTATGCAATTATAATTTTATATTTCATGATGTATTTTTACAATCTTTATTGATACTTAATACTGTAATATAATTATATTTAGGCTATTTATTTTTCAACTGGTTGTCCGCCAAACGCTAGCTGGACGAAGGTGCATGAAATTCAGATGCCATCTTACAAGGCCAAGTGACAAATGTACCCCAATTTCAAAATTATGATGTGATGCAAATCATCATACTTTACACATTATACTTCTGCGTGCATAGAATTTGTCAGTTATAACTTTTCTGAATTAATCTAGCTTCTTGTTGTAGCCTACTTTATCCTAAAATGGTCATTTTTAAAATCGACGGCCGGCTAAGGTCACCCCGTGGGGTATGTGTGGTAGCTTGAGCTGTATAAACACGGTTTTTTTTACGATCTTAGTCTGACCGGGACTCTGCACAGTCTCTCTCTCAGGCTGGCCTGACCGCAGGGGGCGGCTGCCCGCACGGCTTCGTGCCGTGCGCCGGCCGCTGCTACACTCGCCTGAATGCGGCCGTAGACAACGACCGCGCCGTGCGACAGTGCGCCACGTTTGGCGCCCACCTGGCCGTGCCGCGCACCCACAACCAGAACCTGTGCGTGGCGGGGCTGGCCGGCCGCGAGCGCGTCTGGCTGGGCATCACGGACCGCGAGGAGGAGGGGGTGTTCAAAGCTGCCGACGGGGGCGTGGTGACGGCCAGCGAAGCGCACTGGTCCAAAGGACAGCCGGACAATTATAAGAAATCCGAGGATTGTGTGGAGATGTGGAACCCCGCCACTTCGCGAAAAATTAAGTTTGGAGAGTGGAATGACATTCGGTGTAACTTTCACGCCTTCCCGATGTGTCAGCTGGACTCGAGAATTCATACTCCCGCGAAATAACGCTTTCGCTTAAAAAATGCTAAAAAAAAATAGGATTATGACCGCGTCAGCTTTGCCAATCTGCCAGACACACTGGTTCGGACGAATTGGAAACCATTAAATCCGACATGCGTCGCTACTTTTTCCATCATTAAGAAACAGTGAGATCTCGTTCAATGACGGATCGAATTAACCGTTGACGTCATGTTCGCTTGGAGGAGCCCATTTCACACACACGACGAAGTTTTAGAATGTCTCGTCGGTTTTCCGCTGGGAGCGCAACTTCACGTTCGGCCAACGGAGAGCACTCCAGCGCACAGAAGCAGTGCATCGTGCGGATCCAGTACCTTATCGCTCATCTGTCTGCTTTATCACTGAATTCCTGTTGTTGAACGTGACGTGTTACCGTCCATTGTGCTCAATGAGACGCATGCTCTAAAATAATTGTCTTGACCACTGCATTATCGAACTGTAATAAATGGCGTCGAGTTGAAAAACTGCTCTCGATGCTGACGGTGGACACCCAGGTCAGAAATACCTTCAACGCGTTCCATCTCGGCACCACTGCCGAAATACGTTGCCTGAAAGAGTGGGCCTGAAGGCCATCATGAGGGATTTGCATTTGATGCGATTTAGTGGCCATCCCCATCTGACGGACTACGCCGTTATACGATCGGGGTCGAGTTGCAGCATTTTTCAATCAGATTGAGACGCAATTCAACAAACAGTTTGAAAATTATAGGCATACAGGATGCGACCAGGCCAAACAACATGCGGAGAACCGCTTATAAGCATTGACAAGAGGGGTGGAGCTGGAAGGTTACGTTCTGGAACAACAAAGGTTACTGGTTTCCAGTTCAAAGCTCTGTCGTTCACCACCACTATCCGGTGTCCATGTGACAGAACGAGTGAAGATCAGGGCCGCAGCCAGAGGAGTCAACCAAGGTTCGGTCACTTGTAAAATCTTCAGCCAGCTAACGCAAGCTTTGGAAGATTCGCTCGACTCATCAGCACTGTGTCGGAATCCGTTGCTTTCGTGCAAACCACACCGCAGTGCTTTTATATAGAGTTTAAAAGAACTTCGCCAGGCACTTGAGGTACCGTCTCTTGCTGTCAAAGTCAGCCGTATTCCCAAAAGCACGATTCGTGGCAGAAGCGCAGGCAGGTGGCACAGGGGACACGTGTGCCCCTCCTTAGGTTCCGAGGGGCCCTTCGGGTCTCTCAGGACCTACGATTATGGGCCCGAAAACCTACGATTACTCGGGACCCTCGGCACCTACGATTTGAGCGCCTGAAAGGTTCGAAATGTCGGCCAGAGGTCGCATTGAGCGGCTTGGCCCGCGTGGCCGGGTACTCCAATGCCATCCGGGAGGCCCCGCGCCGAGTCCACAAGAGCCTATACGTCTTTTAAACACCACCAACAGCGCGCAGTCGGCTCCGTGTCGGCATGGGCCTGAAGGTCCATGCCCCAAGCAGGGACGAGGCAGAAGCCAGCTATTTACATTGGTCGGAGCCCCAGTGTCTGTCAGGGGCCCCACAGCGCCAAATAGGTGACCTGTGTTGGCTAGTGGCCCGAGTCGGCCAGAGGCGGTGTTCAAAGATGTCCAAATAGTCTGGAGGGCCCACCGAGACCGACGATCAGGGGCCTGATTGGGGGGCTTAAGGGCACGTATGGCTGGTCGTGTCTTATCCAGGGGCTCAAGCCCACGGGTACGGACCCTTAGATAACAGTAAGATGGTCCTTTGCACCGATCGGGGACTCATGAGTTGATTTGGGCCCATATGTCGGTCAGGCGCCATCAGTCCCGCGCAGTCAGCGCCATGCCGGTATAGGCCCGAGGACCCACTACCCTATCAGCTGCAAAGCCGTCACCAGAGATTTATACTGGTCGTGGGCGCTGTATCTGCCAGGGGTCCGCAGCGCATAACAGAGGGTCCTGTGTTCGCAAGGAGCCCCGAGCCGACCGAGGGCAGTGTTCGATGAGGCCGAAGAGGGGCCCGGGCGGCCCACCGGAGCCGATGATCAAGGACTTGGTTGGAAGGCGTAAGGGTCTCCTGCATCGGTCAGGGGCTTAAAGTGCCTGTTGGCGATGAACAAGGCATTCTGTGCCTAATAGGACATTATGTGCCAACAAGGTCCTGGGTCCCGTGCCGGTGAGGGTCCCCAGTAACGAACGGTGGGTCACCTAACCCTATTTCAGTATGGGCCTGTTCAGCCCGTCATTCTTGCATACTTGAATAGTTAAGATCATTAAAACAAATATTAAGGCCTCAAGCATGAATATGATAGTCACGAGCACGTTGTTCTTGAGCTATTTTGAGCACCCTCTTGTTTAAATCACACGTCATACTTTTTGTTCTGACGTCACCCGCTTTTGACGCGCGTCCGACGCCCATAAAAACACTGGTTTGAATTGACCATTAGGCACGTCAGTCGACCCCGGCCGTCATACTTCCTGATAGATGATTTTGATGCCTTCCACCTTTGCAGAGTCTTGGCAATTTAAAGTGCGTCTTCCCACAAGATGATTTGTATAAACTGTCAGGAATTCGCATGCAGACCTTCCAGGAGGCGCCATTCCCTTGCACACACCCATTCTGTTAAAGGCAATTTTCCACATTTGAAGAGGTTGTAGTAAGCTTTGGATATGATCAAATATGCCCACTTTTAACTATTGGCATATTCTTAAGTGGAAAAAGGACTTCTCTAGAAAACATATTATCGCTTTTTGGCAAACATGCTGCACAATACGTCATTGTTTAAGTGCGTCGTTATACCTTGCACAACATTGATTGACAGCCAATTAGCGGCCGTCATGTCTCGAAATCGTGCTAACGAACGTCAGATATGAGCGAGTCAACAATCATGTTTTATTGCCCTTGATCGCTGCATCGCCAACGAAATAGCACGATTTCAATGGCGCTATTATGGCGTTATGGATGCCTGGGTGATCTTCAAATAGCCTTTAAAAAGTTATCCGCACATGTTCGCGGGCATCAGAAACTAGAAGGTTTCAGGTCTTTAGAAAAGCAGGGCTGTGAAATGCACCGAATCTCCTCCAAGATTGTCATTTCAGTTGAAAGCCCCATACAAATGTGGAACACCCCCTCCGACATCGCAGAGACGAAATTTCATTCCTTCAAAAAAAAAGCTTGACATGCAGGGACCACAGCCGGCATACAGTTCTCCATCACTTGGCGCCGGAAGGGTAAGACGCCAATGCCGTCTGACAGGGAAGAAAGGTGACAAACGTCAAGAAACTGTGACATGATGTCTACAACTAGTCACAGATGTTCAAGCAAGTGTCATGGATCGGACTTTTCCAGGGTGCATCTTCATAGCCGATTTTGGACGTTGACGCGCGCAACAGGTCAAAAAGTGAAAACTGCTGATCAGTGAGCCGGAATGGTCCGGTTGCTAGTCATATGTTTATATCAAGACCGTCCCAGCCACAGAAGCTACGCCGGCAAACGACAGCGCCACCATCACCGTTTTCGAAACCGTTCTCGAATGACCCTGTGATTCACGAGCTTGAGTCTGTGCTTCATACAGACTCACGCTATGTGGCTTACGTCAAGGCCGACTGGTTCATATGTGTTTACACTTGCTGCCAAAAATGGTCAACCAAAAACTTTTGTTGTTCCTCGTACAACGGTAAGTCACTGAAAGCGTCAATAAGCCAGACGTCATGCGCAATCACAGGACGAGCGAGGCGGCCAAAGCTGTCGGATCCGGTTCGCCGGGTCCGGTTTTGGCCCGTGCCGTGCATTTCTCGCATTTGGCACGTTTTATGATTCCCACATAGCGATAATGTATTCACATGTTAAGTGTCTGTGCCTGCTGTGTATAGCCGTGTGATATGCCATCATACTTAATTATTCCGTTCAAAGGTACACTTTGATTATAGACTTAATTAAGATCTACCTACGGTTAAAGCAGCACGCAAAGTCGGATTTTACCTCAATAGTAAATTATTCAGACCCACCGTTAGCCAGATTAGCGACGAACGCTTTTTCACATAACTGTGCAGTTAATGAATATATGACAGACATGTTCTGAGCATTTCGCCGTAAAACAGGGTGGAAACATTACTAAAAATCCTCATGGTCAATGGTGATGTGGATGTGTAGTAGCCGCACAGTACATAAAAGAGACAGCGACGTTAGAGGGAGTATGCAAGTTTTTGTGTTTTCCACTTATTGCTGGATCAGACACGTCCGATTTGATCGGTGGTACCAGTTTTCTCGAAATCCGTCTGAACAGCTCAGAATTTCGATTTGACGTAGTCGCTCCTGCGGGAGAAGTCTCGTGGGATTTTTTGGTCATAACTTTGAAAGGAATACATTTAATTTACCTTGCTTTCTCTAACAAGTGTGTTCCGTAATGTTTGCGACACACTCATTAGTCAAGACGCTTGTGTAACAAATGCAACATAAGTAGGAATCACTTTTCAGAGAAAAATATGCCACCATGAGGCTATTATGCCGGGAATTGAACGAAGCGTTATACTTTGGCTTTGATTTCTCCTCTGTGGCGTTTACCGTAGCGCCATTTTTAGGCATTTTTAGGCCTACGCATTTTCATAATGAAGGCATTTTTCGAAGCGCACTTTGGCTTTGGGGAATGGAGTATCACTTTGTCTACAGCGACGCTCTGGTACGAACAATAGTCAACTCACTTCTCGGTAATTGGACCTTGCCGCCCGCCATGACAGTTACAAACATTTATTTGAAGCGACGTCATTCATTCCAGTAGGGGTGCCACTTTTAAGCCCGCTGGCCCGCAATGCGTGAGTTAAAGCATCAATGCGTGGGTTAAAGCAGCTCAAAAGTGTACCTTTGACCCGTAACATCTGACAACGGTCCTCGCCAGATTTTGCTGTTGTCATGACCGCTGCGGTCTAGACAACTGCAGCTGCCGCAAAATTATGATACACACTGGGGCTACTAAGAGAAGAGGAATTGTAGTGTTATTACAACGCGCTGATAACGTAATTTGGAATCGAAGAGGTAATCAAAACCTACACCCTTGTATTATCTTGATGGTGTCGCACTGACACTACCCATTGTTATGGCTCGAAGTAAATCGTTATGAAGTTTCACCATAGCATGTTTTTGAAATATGCCCCAAAGGTGGACTCTTCCTTTAAGAGTAAAAATTATCATATCAGTAAAAAATATCAAGATTTAAGACGCAAGTAGCATTATTCACGTGGGAGTGTCGCTAGCCTCGGTCCCCTTATCCCCATGGCAACGTACCTTGGGGATTGAACTTTGAATAGTTGTTTGAAGTCACTGCACTTGACATGACGCATTGTTTGAAACGGACGGGCCCGTTGTGCTCACCACAACCTCATGGCAAATAAGTCCTCAGTAACTGCATACGTACGGCACTGGAGCCTCCTGGTCCGCTATCAGTCTTCAGGGACACACCTACAGTATGCCACTCAATGCTGGGTCCCGATGCAGGACGATGCGATTGCTGTTTGACAACGAC